TTTGACCAAAGCATATGACTCGTTGGCTAGTAATAGCAATCTTCTTTAGATCTTCTTGTGTTTACGAAAAAAGTCATTTTTTCGATGTTCCAGTTAGGAAGAGGATATAACAATACCTCAGGACACAAGTTCCAACAGAACTAATCCCGAGTTTTATTTCTTATGAGTTGGAATAACGATAGCTGTTTTTAAAACATCAGGTATTTTTAAGTTTTAACTAAAGTTATATAATTAATTCTCGAAAAAGTATGTTGTGCAAGTTTATTTTTTCATATCACGTTTGTCTAATTGCTTTTTTTGGTTTCAATATGTTTAAAAAAATCATTGAAGAAAACTTCATGTCTTGTTTTTTTTTGTATGGTTTATCCGCCAACTGATAAACTTTTTCTTTTTCTCAAGATCATAATTCAATAATTTTCTTTCAGAATAAATTTAGTTAAGAGAATTAACAATCTTTTTATCACTAAGAGAAAGCTTTTATCCAATCCACAGATTCACAAATTTATTGATATTAGCAGCGCCCTTTCTATGGTCAATTTCAGTGATAAAATCATCTAAACAATTTAGTTCCTCTGTCGTGGCTGAAGAAATATTCTTGATCATAGATGGCGCCCCTGAAAAAGCCAGAAACGCACTTTCTGCTTTAAATTTGCTTGGTTTCACCAAACAGGCTTGCTAGTGACATTAGAAACAACAACAGCACTAGTTCCCCTGTAAAAATTCCTTATGCAGTGCAGTTGTAATATTTTTCTTGGGTGTTTTCTAATTGTATATCATCTGTTTTTCTTACTGTATTATTTATAATAAAGCATAATCTACATTGTACAAAATTCCGGACTAAATTAGGGTAAAAATTGCTCAAATGCAGGTACTTTTCTCCGTAAAACCCGTTTTTACCGGTACAAGCTAAGGAACATAAAATCTGATATACCGTAATATTCACAATAATAATAACCATAAAATCAACGAATCACTCTTAAATAAATGTTACTTTTAAAGTCACGGTACTATATGTTACGGTAAAAACGGATTTCGCTTAATTTGATCCGGAATTTTTTTTTACAGTGCATAGACAGAAATATCCATAAATATAATAAGGAAAACATGTCAGTGGGTGAATGCATTTTCGAACTGCAAATAAACTTGGGACCGAATAAATATGTAAGAATAAATATGTAAGAATGCTTTTTACAAGAAATGAAATACTACTTAAATATTCTTTGGAATTTCTTACTTTCATTCTTTAATTAAATGAAATATATACCGTAAACTTTAAATATTTTAACTTACAAAATAATAATATATATTCCAAAATCGGTAAGGAAATGTCATTTCAAACATCTGAGCTTTCTGTCGAAATGAAATTCTGATATTAAAACTTATTTTAATAAATAGAACGCTTACAATTTTACATCTAACAGAAAAGTGCGGATATATGTTTTAAGAAAGAAATCTGATTCCGTTTATTCGAAAAGAATGAATTTTTTGGAAATATTTCATCTCATAAATTCCAAGTCTCAATTCTAATAAAAGTTAATGTCTTTTACTTCCTCTTGTTCCGATTAGAAACGTTAGAGAATGTATTATTATTAAAAATTTATTGCACGAAATAAAAAATATAATTAAAACACAGAAATAGTATTATTTATTGTAATTTATGTAATTTATGATTCAGCAGTTCACCAAAATATAGTATAAATAATTAAACTCAATGCTTTATTTAGATTAAAATATAGCTACTAAACAAAACATTTAAATCCAGCTTAAGGGGATACTTTAGACATGGGTAATAAACGCAAAGGGGTTGAATGGATCTTGTACTGGCTTCCATATCATATCCAATGTAAATCATGGAAGATGCATTTTTAAAATGTTTAAAGATTTCAGTTATTAATTTTGGTTTGCTTCAAATCTTTATTCTCCTTTCGCTATATTTATTTTTGTGTTAAAAACCGATGTATCATTTTTTGCGCAGATGCTGAATAAAAAAAAATTTGCAACCGTTACGGAAAATAAAGTTAAAAACAAAGTAAATCATTCGTAGATACTAGCAAACGTTTTATTTTTTATCTAAGCACAAAAAAAAGAAGAAGAAACTATACGCTTTTATGTTAAAAAAAGAAATTTAGACACTATGATTTTCACTGAGAAAAAAATATGGTCGAGACAACCTAAATAAGGAAAAAAATTTCGTGTTTCTGACTCTATAACAAAATCTCTGGTTTTCTTTTTTTTTCTTCCTTTTTGCGTTGGTAATAATTGTGGCAAAATTATTAATAAAATATGGTTTTAGAGTATGTGATAAACTTTGCTGAAGAGATGGTAAAATTTAGTAATTTTATCTTAGTAGTTTTATCTTTACTTTAGAGTATGGCATAAAAAAAATTTATTTGGTTAAATTTACTCTATAGTTTGGTAATTTTGACTAAATGCATGGAAAATTTTAGAAACCAGAATTTCCGGTAAGCTATTATATATAAACTGAAAAAAACGCATGTCGTTCCAACGTATGTCAGATTTGAAGAGCAGATATAATGAATTCTGACCTTCCTATGACTTGGACCATATTTCATAGCAACTCCTAGAATAACGAAGACATTAGGAAACTGTGCGTAGCTGCAGTTTCCTACACGTTCTGGTTAAGATTCTTCGTAGTAGCTGTATAACAATTTTACTTTAAACATAGAAATTACTTTAAATATGCAAGCAATGAATATCCTTTACGAGCGTAGTTAAAATTTCAGCATATTTTTCAGCAAAATTTCAGCATATAATTTTTGTAATGATGGTCAAAATAATTAGTAGTCAACATTGTTAAAGATAAATAAAATATTAAAATATACATATTTTACTACTTTGATAAAATAAATCCCTCAAATATCAGGAGAATTGGAACTTTATGGAGCCACCAGGACTAGTATGCTGCTGTACAATTAAAAAAAATATAGATTTTGAGATTTAATTATTTTAATAGGAAATAAATTTACTATTATTGGTACAAAGAAATATACTATAAGTACTATGTAAATGGATTTTTTGCGGCCCAGTGGAAGGAGTAGGTACAGAAGAAAATTTATTGATTATCATAATTTTTGACTAACAGGAATTGACGTAAAGCCAAAGCATTTTGCTAAATGATATCGAACACAGTTTATCTTTCTTTTGAAGAGGTGAACATCTAAAAGCCATCAGAGCTTAAACCCATCGGAAAGCGTAACACATAATAATAAGTTTTAAAAAAAAGGAATTATTTTTGCTAAATAATTTTGTTAGTATGTTTTTATGTAGTATTTTGTTAGAATGTATGTAATTTTGTTAGTAGAGTTGTTTAATTGCTTTTTTCATAACCGGTACCAAAAACGAGTTTTTAGCTAGTATCGAAATAAAAATAAGTGACAACATAGTTTGTTTTAATAAAAATTTTATTTTCTGTGCAAGTTTTGATATTTTTAAAATTAATTATTATAGCTTAAAATAATTGAATCGTGCTTATTCTCTTCTTCAAAATGAGTTTAAATGTTGTTTAAAGCAAAATAAGACTAGATATTTAAAAAAACGTAATGAGAAAGTGAGCGCATTCTGAGCAGAATGAGTAATTAATTGAAAATTCGAAGACCTTACATTTTTTACAATTATCTTTGACTTATTTCCAATTGCAGTAGTGAAATTTTTAAAAAGAGAGTTTACTGAAAATCATTCATTCGGAGTCTCATGAAAACATGTAGAGAGTTGAAAGCGGAAAGTTTCCGTAAAGATACAGAAATATATTCACAAGAGGCTCAGTAATTTTACTGAAAAGTCGATAGGTAAAGCTCTAAAAATTATTCCCCAGCTCTTAAATAAAGTAGTTTCTGGTTCTGATGCAGCTTGGAAATATTATATTGGAGTGGAATCCGCGAAAGAGAAATTTAATTAGAAACCCCGAAGACACCAATACGAAGAATCGAACTCGGACCGAAGTCGTGGTAGCTATAGAATCTACAAGCTACATTTAATAGGTAGCTACTTGCCTGTAGCTACCTATATATTACTACCTATTATTGACTGTTAGAAGTTTTATTCTAAAATTACAGTAAAATAATTAACAGCAGCCTGTACATCCAACTAGCGGTAAAATTTATGGTAAACACCATGTTTTAGATTTATGGTTTTTAAACCATTTACAGCTAGTATGAGTAAATAACCATAAATAGAAAAACTATACGTCTTTTTTACCATTTACAACAATTACAAGAAATTACCTCTTACAACTATTACTATTACAACATTTACAAGAAATTTAACCAGTCATTGGAGCTAAGATTTTTTTAGGAAATGGGCATTGGAGTTAAAATGTGGTTGAGTTGTGTTTTATCAAATGAACCTTGAAGCGTTGTTTTATTAGTTTATCTGATATCTTCACCTATCTTAACAGATGGGAAATACTAGACTTTTTTTTTTAAATGGCTTTATAGTGCTGCCATCTTCGCGGAAATGAAAGTATCGTATTCTAATAGTCCGAGGAATCAGAATGGGGAGTGCAGGATACAGGAAACTCTTCATGTTTTGAGGAGAATGGAGGAAATATTGCGGTGTCAACACTGGGACCTGAACCCTCGTTCTGTCTGTCATTACGTTGGTGCGAAAAAATTCAGATTGTGTAACCGCATTAGGTGAAAGTAGTTAAGAGACTGCATTTCTCACAGTTTTCATCTTATTCATGATTGTTTGAAAATGGTCCAATAACAATTAAATAAATTATCATTTAGTTATTTTTTAGGAAAATTTCTAACACTATATAAATAACAATACATCGATATTTCTAAAATAGAGTCACTTTAGAGAAACGCGGAGGGGAAATTATCTGTAAATTTGTTTCGTAACTAATCAGTCGAAACAAGAACTTAATTAAAAAAAAGCTTCCGGCTTTTTCTTGTATTTTTACTGAAGTTTTTTACAGCTTTGATAATCTTTTACACTTTTTTTTACTTTTTTGACATTCAACTTTTTAATTTTTTAAGGCCGGTCGTGAAAATCCCACTGCAGTCCTTTGGGTTGTAGATGTTCGAAACCCATCCAGGATATTGCATCGAGACGTGAAACCTCCCAGAGAAGTTCAGGACCAATTAGTTCACGTGTGGTTTGTATTATGTTTTAATTCAAATATTTTAAAGATAATTTAATCGTGAATTTGCCTCTCATAAAGCTCCCAAATTTTAGTTTATTATAAAGTTAATCTAATTTCATGCATTAACATTAATTGTTTTCGTTAAATTTACGAATACATTATCCATGTAACTATTAAGGGAAAAATTAACTGAATTGTTGAAAGCGAAATTTGTATTTTTAAGAGAGTCTCGTTTTATATTCGTTTCGTTTTAATTTCACAATAACGCCGTGAAACTTCACTAAGTTTACATAAGTTGAGATTTAGTTAAGATTTATAGTAAATCTGTTAGAATTTAAAAATGAAAGTGCAGAAAAGTTTAAAAAAGAAGTAACTCTTAATCTGATTCGTCCCAGATATAAATTATTATTTAAATTTTACAGCAGTTTCTTTGAAAAATGCTACAAAGGATTTTATTACTTAGAAAAAAATTTTTTTAATATATTTCCTTTCTAAAATATCATGAAACTTAATTTAAAAATCTCTCTCCAAATCGTAAAATTTACGGAAATAGGTCAAATACTTGAATGAAGAATTTAAATGATTAAATCAGAGCATCATCCAAATTTTTGAAAATTATTCAATAAAGTGAATTAATACCAGCTGATGCAAGTCTTTTTTGAGAAATAATATTTTAGTGAGAAAATGAAGTAGTTAGAATTTTCTTAGATCTCCTTCCCTAATTTGCATAACCCAAAATAAATCCTTTCCTTATCGCATATAGTATTGCATATCATATTGTATACTTTCTATCCCGAGTCACGCAACAAGCATTGAATAATAATCTTCCATGCAACATTGTATCTATTCCATGCAATCATTTTGATATGATGAGTAGGGATCAAGAGTTTGGAGGAGACAGTAAGGCAAAGCTTGTCTACGTATTCTTACCATGTTATTTAAATGTATGCTTATGAGCTGATGGCGTGATCAACCAACTGCATATACAAGTCTGAGTTCGCTGCTTAATACTGTTAGTTAGAAATATATGTTTCGAGTTGCGTAGAAAGCCAATGTGAATGGGTTGTGCTTAAATATGCAAATATATTACCAATAAATGTAAGGCATTATTTTAAGTTTAGTTTATAAATTATCTTCCAATCATGCCATTGATTAAGTAGTTAGGATTAATAATGAGTGAACATAAGGGGAAATAAGAACAGATTTGAAATCATCGTTAAAAAAATTCGAAATGAGTTTAACCATAATATCATTCAGAACTTACTGCTAGATAAACATGGTATTTAATAGAACCATATTAATTATAATACGACTAGGGGGCTAAACCCCCTGTTTTCTGACGCTCACCAACCCCGATGATTGTTTCGCAATAATTATTTTGTCTTGGCATTAAACAGTTGAAATTATTTCAAGTAAAAATATATGTACTGAAAAGAACACTTGTGCCGCCAATTGCCAGGTCCAAATATTTCACGTATGATGCTATTAAGATCTATTAAAGGACACATTTTCTAAGAAATCATTTTTTGAAATAATATTTAATATTAAAAATATATTGTTATTAAATTTGGTGAGTTTACAACTGTAATTTAAAATTTTGGGGAAAATATACTTGAGGGTGCCCCTTGGCGAAATTGGCGACTTATGTTTGGCGCTATTCCTGTTTGCGCGGAACACCGTGGTAACAGGAATTGCGGCCAAAACATCGGATTCAACAAATTCAATTCAACAAAACATCGGATAAAGCTTGCAATGAACCCAATATAAGCAAAATTAATAAACCCAATAAAAAGGATTTTGAATCAAAGCAAAATTAATGGAGTAGGCGCAGAAAGAAAAGGGAAAAAACAACAACTCACTTCTTCATTAAGCTTGAAGATTCTCAGATTTAGGTGCACAGAAATATCTAATAACAGTTAGATACTGTCTAAATTTATCATGAATAGAATCTGTGTACCTCCATCGCCACATAAATTCGACAAAATACGAATTGAAAATGGCATCTGTGGTACCGGACTGGCGGACATTTTTACGACTGCCCACATACCTTCAATCTTATTGATCAGAAGCAAAAGTTACCTTACCAGCCGGTATCCAAAGTAGAACTAACGAACCTCTGAAATTTTATATACCGTTGAACATTTAAAAATAACGCTAAAATCTAAAACAATCAGAATCACGATTGGGTTTCAACATCGCCCAGCTTGGCGATCAACCGCGATCAAAACTTGGCGAGAATCAAGGGGC